TCACTTTAAAAGTTAATTTGCGTGCTTTCAGTCTTTATCGCAATTATTCCTAATCAGTTACTTTGTCAAATAAAGGCAAACCCTCCTGGAAGGGAATTCCTAGAGACCATATCCAAGTTCAGAAAGAGAAATAGAATTTCGCCGTTGCCTGTTTACGTACTCCATAAAACGCCAAATTAGGCATTTTCACGTCGTAGTCGTGCAAAAACGGGCAAAGAAATGTACAAAAAAAGCGTGATGCACGTGCAAAGTGGTTGTTTTTCTTATAAAACCTATTGTTTCGATGCCGTCCGCGTCGCTGGATCTTAAAGTCCCTAATATTTACAGAATGTAAGACGTAAGTGGATGCGCAGCTGTGGATATTCAAAGCTATTACTGATATCAATGATGATTTAGCTTATGTCTCTGGATGGACATCTTATGATTATTTCGAATAATCATGCACTCACACTTAGCTAAATTTTGTTTTGCCCCTTGCTAATAACTTTTATTTATACGAGGTAAAATAGGACGCCTCTGTCAGCTTAAGTAACTGAGACGCTTCTAATGTGAGACGCTTGCTATGTATTACCCTATTGTGAGTTTATGCATTTGTTTCTAGCATAAAAAGGTTGCAATGTCAAATCTGCCTGCATTTAAGCATCAAGATTAAGTTCTCATTTACTACTTTTTTTTTAATTTTAAAGTCACACAATTTTTTTTATATATCCTAAGTATTTTACAAAGCTTTTCTCTATCCCAAAAATATTTGCCCCAGTCCAGTTTTAATCGTAATTATACTTTCGAGAAATCCAATGGTTGAATTCACTCATGAGATCAGTTTTGCTTAATTTGTTTCAGAAAAATGAATATGAAGAATTCTACAACAACAACAAAGACAACAAAACAAGAGTGTAGACAAAAAACATTGCATTATTAATATCAGTTGACTTTTGAAAGGTACTCCAATACATGAAAGTTCGCATAACACAACATTAACTTGAGCGACGTTTGAAAACAACCCATTAATTGATTGGCCTATGAACTTCATCCAAGAGAGGGGAGCAGGGAATTCAAACAACAAGGGGGTGGTTGCAATTTCGCTGGGTTCATTCTTTTATTTTATGTTATGTTTATGTTAATTTTTTTGTCTGTTATATGTTATATGTCTATGTTTTTGTTATTTTTGTTTTTTTATTTTTCTATTTTTTGTTTTGGCGTTCCCAGGGGCGCATTGCAATGCCATCATAGCCAGAGAGCGAACATGAAGATATTGCCTCTGTGTTTTAATCTGACGTGATCACTGAGACCCGAGTGACCCTTAGCTAAACCGCGGCACTGTCATAGAAGGAATAAATTATGGACAAGCAATTAGCTCCGTACTCCCGAAATCAAGGATGAGGCTCGCGTCAAGGCTGATTCACAATTCATGAATTAACTGAAGCGCAGTTTTAAAATGCCAGCCCTTATAGAAATTACAGTATATTATTCAACCCAAGAAAGATGAATTTCAGTCAACTTATCAACTGTTTTTAGGACTTGAGCACACTTTCTAGCATGACCGTCGAAATTCATTTCCGTAGTTTATTTTTGTTGGTTTTAACAAGGCAAGCGTATTTACCAAGCTAAGTTATTATCACCGTTGTAGAGGATGGTCTTTTAAAACTTTCGAGCGTTCTATTTAGATACTTACAATAGCTGAATAATTCTCAAAATAATTAAAGGTTTTATAGGCTCTAAGTAGTTTGTAGTAAGGTTGTATTGTGCGAGAGTCGCTCCCAAGTTGTAGTTATCACTTGAAGTATAGTTAATTAAATTAGTTGATTTTAAGGAGAGTTTTTTGTATTTTTCTGTCGGTTGAATTATACCGTAACAACGTGATCTGACAAGCTAGCCGCTGGGCCAAATTTTGGCTGCAACGGTGATTAGCTCTTAGAACGACTCCAATGCCGCCTGGTTAGTGGTAAGCTCAACTGGATAAGCGCCGGTCTGCCGAGCGGAAGGCCGCTGGTTCACACCCCGGCAGGACCAACAACTTCCGGTTTTTAAAGGAATAAATGAATTCCCAGACATTCTAATTTATTTTTAAAGGAATAGGAATTAAAAGCAACTCAGTAAATATCCTTTCATTGTCTTCCCTCTACTGCAGCGATACCTAAGAAAAAGAATTTCCTTCTTCAAATAAATCGGCCATCCTTTGCCTGGAAACTGGTATTGCGGCTTCGAGCTTGTGCGACTCCAACCGAAAGAAAGTCTGTAGCACCGGACGAATTTCCAACCGGTTAAAAATTCGTACGTTTTCCGTTTACGCGGAGCCACCTTAACTGTGCAAAAATTTAGACGTCCAGCCGTTAAAGAAAGTTTGAACGCCAGAATCGAAGTCAAATTTTAAACCAGTATGGTCGAAAATTTTACTGGAGCGATGAGATTACCATATGATACTGTTTAGCCTTTGATGGCAAAGGCGTGGTTGCCTGGATGCGTGGTAAATCAGCTTGGAGATGCCATTTGAATTTGCTAAAGTAACGTTCTACGCAGAAGCAGATGGTAAAACCAGTGACACAAGTTAACACTCAACTTGTTTCGTCAGTTTCCCGTGAACTGAGCGAAAGTATTGAATTTCTTGAATGATTCCTTGGTGTGAATCAAGCATCTCAAGTGATAAAACACATCACAGGCAAACAAGGGGTTTTACGCAAGGATGTCTACATTTTCTTTTCTTTTCTTTTTTTTTTTTCGAAGAGGAAGTTAAAAATGGAGTTATTCTTTGAACAATTTCCTTCTAGAAGGGGAAGTAACTATTTTGAACAAAACTGTTCGACTTCCAAATGCTTTTATGTGCAAAGCAGAACGATTAAAATACAATTTGGTACACGCAAAATTTGTTAAGCTTCCGGCAAACTTACGGTCGAGAGAGGATATCCTAAACTGACTATACAATTATTTGAAAGATCTAATCATGTGCACACACACACACACCTTTTTTGGTTTTGGCATCCGGGGTTCTCGTTATAATTACGGAGATGACGACACCTTAGCGAGTGAGTGACACATTTGAATAATTATCGTAGCGCCGCACCCCCATCCCCAAAAATCGATCTTTCGCTACGGGTATCCGCTAGTTAAAAAAAAAATGAATCACTAGTTGTTTTCTCTGCATAACCTGTGATTTGCGTCGGCGAAGGAAGAAGAAGTACTAACAAAGCTAAGACCAAGGAAAGTTGGTCAAGTTTACGGCCTTCTGTGCGAGAGGCCCACTGTTCCACTCCAAGGTGTGCCTTGAAATCATTGTTTGGACTTCTCTCATTTTTGAGTAGCTTTGAGTAGCTTAAAAAACCCCTAAGGTGGAGCAGGCGGAGCGCGCGCAGCACTGATGGAGAGAAAAGGGTAAACACTGGTAAAATGAGAGTAACTTACCTCACCTCAGGTTTGTTAGTTAGATTCAGCTACCGACGTAAATTAAGGACGCTTTACTTTTTAACTTTAACCTAGTTTCACAGCAATGTCATAACACACTTTTATTTTTATTTTCTCATCGATGTTTTTTTTTTTGTTTGTTTTTTACTCGTTTTCTTATTTTATAACATAGCAGAGTATTGGAGACTTGGGTTAGGGCGTTTCCCTCCATTACCACGCCCTTTTCCAAAACAAATTATTAAATAAATGTGGCGGTGACATTTTTAAACTTCAATTCTATGTGATATGTTTTTCAAAAGAAGTAAGGTATCTGGGTGAAGGGATAAATAACATTCTAACCTCTACAAAAACAAGACAAAATCTTGTGCGTGCTGGTGTTTTAATCTTAATCAAACTTGATCTTTAGAAAATACACAGTCACGTTTTTAATTTAGTTTACGTTTTGTATTAGCACTCCTAAACGTGCCAATATCTAAGCGTGCCTTTGTTATCACACACATCCCATAGAATGACACACAAAAAAAGCAACCCCAATGAACTAGGTCTGAACTCCGTTCGGAATCCATCTTGGAATGAAGTAGGGATATGTTAGGTCATCCTTGTCCTTCCGTTTCTCGTTCCTTTCTTGCAGTTTGGGCTGAACAACACGCATTAAGTAGCTATAGTGATTGCTGACAATGTTAGCGGCCTTACTGTCCTCAAGACTGTCGCCGTAGTCAAACAGTGAATCAAAGCGGAAACTTGCTAACGAGTTGCTGAAGCTTGCCTCAATCTGAAAAGTTAAGAAACCAAATTAAATCGCTTCAGCAAAAACGTATAGTTACGGTATTAAATTTAATTCATTAAATTATAATCTAAAAAAAAAAACAGTCATTAAGCTCCTGGCTGGCCAACTTTTCAATAGATGGATAGACTATCATTATTTTGCTCTTCGTGTCAATTTACTAATAAATGAACAAAAAAATAGACACACAGATAATTTCAAAGGCATTATTTGAGCCTGAAGGCTAATTTAGCTTGTACGTTTTCTAGTTATTGCCCAGTCATTTAGTTTCTCGTTTTAAATACAGGTAAAAAAGAATGTTACCTAAGAATCAAAAGTCATTTTTCGCAGAGTAGCACAGATGGTGCAAAATAATTTCAACAAAGTCAACATTATGTCATATCGTGAATATTACTTGGTTATTTAGCCGCGGTTGTTAATTTTCGGTCGAACGATAACCTCAGTTTCGTGATCTATTAGTCATAACTATCCACTCAAAGTTAAAAGTTAAATAAAAGCAATTACATTAAAGTTTTACTAATCTTAGTTATGAACGTTGTGCCTACCGCAGATGTAACCCTGTTTGGGAGTCGGTAAACAGAAAATTCACCCTCTTTAACTCTGGTATCATTGTACAGTTTCGTTGGCAGATTAGGGATGTACACGGCATAGTCTGTCAGCAGGTAGTTGCATGCGGTGTGCTGCAGGCTTAGGTGTGAGATAATCCGGGTAACAACATCACACAGTTCTTCTTTGGAGTCAATTCTTGCAGGGAACTTTTGTATCTGTCGGTTATTTAAGTGAAAGTGGCTTAAATAAAGAATGTATAAGTACCCGACAATTTAACATCAGTTTTCGCGGAAACGTTTTGGTCGCCAAGCTTAAAGAAATTCATTATCTATTTGTTACTCAACCGCACCGAAAACCGTAAAGTTTATAGACAATAAAACGCACCTAAATTACTGATGAGCAACACGGGGTTAACCAGGAAAGCTCTAAAAAATAAACATTCCCTTTGGCTTGGCTTCCATTATTATCGTCCGGATAGGCTCGGTCGTCTCCAAAAAAACGTGGTGATCGAAACTTTTCGTCAGGCAGGAGAACGATTATGATTAAATGTAAATTTGAAGTAGTGCAAGTTTTAGCACTTTCAGAGTAAATCTTAAATGAAATGCACCCGTTGAAAAAGTACGTGTTCGTCTTTCCCGTTAAATCTACAAAGGAATTTGGAAGGACTGCTATTCATTTTGAAGGGACTGCTAGCACTCTTGATTTTCATTGCACCTGAGTTGCACAATGTTGTCTGATTTTCTAAAAGTCACTTTACAGGTTAATTTACGCAATGAAGGTACTAATATTAATTGGTATACTGATACTTACTCTTCCAATTCCGCCATTCTCTCCAGTTCCGTTGAGAGACAGTTCATTGAGGAAAGCCTCGAGTTCCTTGTCTTCCTGGACAGCTCTATCGTCTTTATAATATCTGAAAAAAAATTGGCTATGTTATTATGAAGCTATTATTAGTCATGCAGTAACTTCCTCAAACTAATGAATCCCGGACAAAAATTGTATTCAAAGTTTTGTATTCTTTCATGTCATAGTATCGAAGAACCTGAACAGCCCTTTATCTCCTAAACTTCGCGACACACACATGCACTATCGAGATGAACTTAACATTAATCTAGGTAAGCGTGTTTTAGCTTGTTTTTAAACAAGGAATTATTTTAAATGAATAATATAACAATTATTGAATTCGGCTTCGTATCATAATAAATAGATTTAGCCAGGGCTAAAAGCGAAGCTCTCATTAATAAGTTTATTAAATCAAACAATAAACTTGTATTTCACAAATCAGTAAACTTTAGAGCACATTCATATGACTTTCGAGGGAGGGGCTAAGTGACTTTAATTTAGAGAAAAATAATTTGCAAACAGTCCAAGAGTGAACCAAATCTGACATCGATTTGATAGCCTTATATGTACACCAAAAATTAGCAACCATCTTCGATCACATTTAAGAGCCATAATGGCTCTTGATCACAGTAGATTAGGCCTGGAAAACAAATTCTTGGGAAACAAATCAGGCCGAATTTTTTGCGTTCGACAAGTTTGCTTTACAAAATCTTGGGGCGTGTAAACCAACCTATTATACTTTTTATAAATCACATCTGAGGTGAAATAGTACTATGAGGCGCTGTTTTTATCATACAGACCTCAGACAGCAGTATTTCACAATTTTGAAATACAAATTGCACTCATTCAATATTCAGGACGATCTAAGCATGCGTGGGCTTTTAGCGAAACCGCTAAAAAAACTTTCCAAAATCACCTATAAGGCCAGCCGGTTGCGAGCTGTGGAGTGTTTGAATGAACATTAATAGAATTACGTTTCAACATAATAAGGAGTTCATTTTTTATTTAGTGGTTTTATAACGATGTGCAATCTTCAAAAGCGTTACGTGCGGCGTTTTGAGTTAACTCCTGCAAGCGATGTTCATGAACGACTGAAAACAAACGGCACAGCGATTATAATTGCAAGAGAGACAACTGACGATCCATAAAAAGAAATATACTTCGGTGAAACATATACAGAGACAACAATTTTCACTCACGAAGACGAGTATTTAAGTGTCTCTAAAAATCCTGAGTCTTCAAGCTTAAAGCTTAACTTTATGTTTTAAGCCGGCTTCCCGGTGTTTTCTTTTTTCAAAGATGAACTCGAGCCAAGAAAATCGCTCAAAGTTTTATTTTACAGCCAGAATTTTAATGAAATACTCTTTGGAACGTTTTCTTTCTATTTGCGGTGAGAAAATGTCTAAAGGCTTTTTAAAGTTCTGTAACCTTATATCAAACCTGATCTCGGTCAGATCATTGTCTCAAATCTCACAAACGCGCATAAACTAAATAACTGCATAAAATACGCTCGACTTCATTAAATAAGATATTAAAAACAAACATCAAATACATTAATTATTCAGGCTTACCATTCTAGATGCAGCTCCCGGAAGCTATCAAGTAAGGCCAGAATCGCTTGAGACTTTTTAACCCTCTTACGACCTCTCTTACGCATCAAACAAGGTGAAAAACGAAAACAGTGCCATACGAAATCAGATTTCCAACTTTGACAATGCGACGTATTTCTCAACCAAAAACCCAATAAACAAACTAGCCATGAATAACGGTGGACTCTTGATAGCAGCTGAATTTCATTTTGTACATCCAGTAGAAAAAGACATTTTAAAACATCACAAGTTGACACAAAACTCTGTCAGCTTCAGCTGTCAAAGTAGTACAAGATTTAAGATGCTGCATAAATTTTCCACATGAACTCACCCGTCAAATTTTGACCAATCAGAGCATAAAAATTAGACGTAGAGCGTGACCAACGCAAGACCATGGTGAGAAGAGTCAAAAGCAACTGTTCTCCCTGCCTGTAATAGCTGGCTGAATTTTCGCGTCCGAGATCAGTTTGAAATCAACCTTTTAATCGTGCGGCACATAAACACAACATATTTCATATGAGTTTGAAAAAAGAAATAAGCTTGAGCCTGCGATCATTTGAAAACTAGTAACCGGTCAATGGATAACTTCAAAAAAATACTCGACCTCGATGGGCGGACATCTGAGCCCGCGATACGGTCAGGTGATAGTAGTCAGCGGATATCCTGTTTTGACAGCTGTCAATTGATCACAAAATTGATGTGCAATATGTGTACAATATCAGTTTTCCTGTGCTCCTAAACTTGCCAGAAAGTGTGAGATTGAACATTGGTATGCCTGTGGTGCGGACGGACGGTTGTTCGTTCGTTCGGTGTACGGTCACGTGATTACCAAATTTCCTGAGATGGGTAGATTTACTTACCATAATGCTCCGCTGGTGCGCGCTTCGCGCGCGAGAGCTCCGCTATGAAGAATTATGAAGATCTCAGAGGGTGATATCCGCCGAGGCTGACACCCTACCTGATCCCTATAATTCTTCAGATGACACGAAGCCGAATTCAATAATTGTAGATTTGTAATATTTTTGAAGAAAGTCTATGAAAAAGTGAGGATGTTAAGAACTTAAAAATATTTTGTATGAATGATTAAAAAAACTTTCACCTTACGCGTTAATATGCAAAGGTATAAAGAACATTTTATCAACTCTCCTGACCAGTAACTTTGCCTGATGAAAATACTTACAAAGAGACGTACTTCTCCACCATGTGATCGATTACTCCTAAAATCTCCTCGCCATCATCACGGTAAGGAAAGTATGGAATAAGTCTCCTGTCATCTAGTCCACGTTTCTATTAAGGTGTATTAACACCACATACATAAAAAGGTCAAGACTGGCAAAAAGTAATTAAAACTAAAACTAAAGACTAAATCCTTTATGTAGGGAAGTTCTTACAAATAAAAAGGTAGCGTTTCTTTTTTATGCCAGGGGTTGAAGTTTCATGTCGCTGACTGAACCAGAGAATTATTCCTATCCATACTCGCTATGCAGAGTTTTATGTAACTTCAGATCGAGTTCCGATAGAAATTGAATGTTTGACAATCGTTTTAGGCCATGGACCTTAATCTTATCGGTATCAATTAGCTTAGTCCACGTTTTAGTCAAAAAGCAATTGTTTTGTCAAAAAGATGTCAATAGAAAAGTGGGAATTTTTGTGCTTCTTCTGAGGCAGGTATGAAGCTCTGATTTAGGTGTCAAGAGATGTTAGAAATAGCTGATATTAAATGCATGGATTGTAAGCATTTAAAGGAGCTCTTTCACAGCAATCTAGTTTATTATCGCTTATTGCTCTTCCTTACTCACTTCGGAACTTACCCTCAGCGAAGAAATTATTTGTAAATGGCACCTTCCTGACAAACAAATTTGTCTTCCAAGCATTATGATTATTCATCTACACTTATAAACAACACAGATGAAAAACCTTTAGAGCGAGGAAAACCAGTTTTCTAACACCCCGATTGCAATCAGTTGTAAACTTCTTCGTTCTTTTTTCTCCTTTTGTGTTTGCTCACACTGCTCATTAAAGCTTCCATTGTCTGAATTTGGCTAAATTGCACGTCACAGCTCTTTTTGATGAAACCAAAGAAAGTAAGATAGCATGACAACAAACCTTTACTTCTTCTTTCAAATTTGTCACCTCCCACGTGGCTACTTTATGAGAGTCTTTCAGAAGCCTTGTGGTGCCGGTATTGCCATGTGCAAAGAGCAAATCCATAAACTGTGCCTCGTCTACAAGCTTTGGAGTTCCAAATGTGTTTGGGACAGTTATTTCTCTGCAATGAAACTTGAGTATTTGATGCAGAGGATGCTGGGATGAAAAGGTCCGTTTTAGGATAACACAAAATGGCTCCATCAGATAATGAATCTTTAAAAAGAAAAAATTCAAGAAATATAGCGTTTATTATTATCATTATCAGTAACATTCGTTATCAGTATCATTTAGTATCATTATCATTATTATACGAGTCTTAGAAACAGGCAAATATGAAATATGTACAGCAAATATCATCACCTTTGCGAGGTGCTCCACGATTTGTGCGTAGCCGAGATCTGTGATTTGGACATTAAGCTTAGCCAGCATCCAGTTTCCGCCATCTTCAGGAGTGTACACGGCTGAATCTAAAGAATACAGCGTTAATACTATAAGTTGACCCGGCATGCTGTCAAATTGCAAAATAGATAAATGAAGATGTAAAATGAATCTAATAGAGTCGTCTACATATTTACAGCCGTTATTAAGATTTATCGACTTTGCGGAACTGTATATTCTTTATTTTATTTTATTTTTTATTTTCCGAAGTTACTCTTTCCAGATTCCCAAGTCTAATTTTTATCCGGGTTTTCCGACGGACAATCACTGACTGATCCTCAAAAACTAAAAAAACATGGTAAAAAAAAAAAAACTATTGGAAGAGAGTGAAGAAGTGATATTGTTTACAGTGAAGTCAGGTTTAGAGTCCAATGTTTGAGTTTCCTGTACAAAAGTGATAGGTAATAGGAATTGCTAGGAAGCCTTCCAAAACTGGACAGGTATATGGCCTCTGATCACTGAGCCAAACCCATCTTGTATTACGTAGTACACAAGCATGCGTGGCAATTTCAACTACATGTATAACTTTGTAAAACCTCAGTGACAGAAATAGCATAGTTAAGACTTGGTGGGAGAAATAATTTTAAAACTGATGTAAAATACTGTTAACGTATCCTTTCCCCGCATTGAAGAAGTTTTTTGGCAGATAACTACCCATTACATTTAGTTAAGTGTATTGGACATTTCCAGTCAGTCACATGTATTTAGCATTTTACCTGGTTTATAATCCATTTGTATGGCCACAGGAACAAGCTCATTTTTACCGTTTTTATTCCCCTTAGACGCAAACAAAGCGATAGGAGAGAGAAAGTTCCACATTTTTCTTCGAGGATCTCTATCAGTAAGATCTGGTGATCTTGCCATGTCGTCACACATCTCATATCGTAGAGCGTAAATGCGGCCCTGATCTATAGCCTGCAAAGCAACACAGGTGGCACCGTCCTTAAAATTTCTTAAACGAAATAAATACCTAGTACAACTGCCTGGCTGGAAATAAGCTGACTCTGGTCAAGCAGCAAAAAATAGAGTGTCTTTTACGCCTATAGCTAAATACAAGCAGAGTAATTATACATTATTCTCCCATGCTTTTAATTTGTCATTCAACACAAGGCTTATTAGGTTATGTCTTGTTTGATGATGAACAGGCCCGGAGTTTTTTATGTAACCTTGATGCAACTACGACTATTTAAAGGGCTCAAATGAAATCGATCGGTTTATTCCTTCGATACAAGGTGGGATGTTTAGATTTTATTTATTTATTCCGAACGAAGCGAGGCACGAAGCGCTTCGCAAAGAGAGTTTAAAATCTGGTAGCGCGCGAAGTACAGTACAGTATCTTTACTAAAACTCCACTACGTAGCTCTTCCAATTTAATTTACAAAATGGAACAAAGAAAGAAGAAGGAGAAAAAGACTAATTCACAAATCTAATTGTTAATAATAAATGGGAAAATAGGAATAAAATTAAATTAAGAAAGGCACGCAGCGCGTGGACCGCGCGTGAATCGTGGATTTACTTGTATATATCCGATGGTGGCCGCCATGACCTCATACAGTAGTTTGACGTCAAGGCGCATTTTTTCTTACTAGGCAATGCAACATGACCAGGGCGCACATTCATGGTGTATTCATAAGGGCTGATGTGTTTATTCATGTCTGCGAAACAATGTTTACGATCGGTGAATCACGAACAATTTCCCTGACACAGAACGGCAAGCACAGCAGGTGGCGGGAAATCCTCCACGGCGAAGATTTTCCACCGTAACTCCTCTTGAGAACGCTGATTAAATCTATCGCGAGCCGAGTAGACGACAAAAACAACAAAGCGCGCGAGGCAGAGCGAACATCGCTCATCACCGCGAAGGCAACGTCGTCAACACGGCGACCACAAACATGTACAGAGGTAGCGACAAAATACTACAATTACACTGCAAACAAACCGGTGAAGAGAGGGAACACCGAGTGCTAACGCTTCAAAAAGCGATGAGGAGATCAGGCAACGCTTGAAGTTTTCAACCAAAATTATCTTCTTCGATGCAACGATAGGTAGCAAGAGTTACACGATCTGTACAATGCACGGCAAGAATATCTTTCCAACGGACTTAAGACAGTTGATTAGTCTTTAAGCCATGAGTAATGATGGCTTTTACAGTAAGCTTTATTTTAGAACACTGAATATGTGTGACGTGTAGGGAAGCGTTACATTTGTAAACAACATTTTCGTTTACGATTTTCGTTACATTTACTTCCCTAAAACTATCCTAAGTAAAATGTATATCTATGTTTAGCAGCCTTATCAAACATAGCGCTGGCCTCCTATTGTCGATCCTATTTAATATTCCAAAGGAACATCCGTATTTCGAATCTCCTCCCAATATTAGTGTGTGACATGTGTTACCATGCCAGGAAAATTAATTCTTTTCCCTGAAAGGGACAATTTAACAAGTCAAGAATTTTCAGGATTATTCAGGGAAAATTTAACTGTTTCAAAGATGTCAGAGGGAGTTGACATATTCCTGCATATTCACGGAAGTTAAACATGTTCCATTGGCAGAAGCACACTTCTATGTGGAAATTTCCTACAAATTCACTCCTCCATGGGTATTTGTTTCTCATGCACGTACACAAATAACTATGAACACTTTTATAAATGACTTGGTACTTTTTACAGAGATGACTCGTTACTAATGAGGGTACCGCATAATAGTAATCATGACTCATGATCACTTTCATAATTCTTCTCAACTGCATCCTTAATCATGGAAACATTGCTACATGTAGTGTAAGTGATTATAAGAATTGTACCTTACTGTTGCAAACAATTAGTTGTCAAGTGTGATTATGTACTACAAAAAGTGTAAACAGTCTCCTTGCTGTAGTTCACTTCACAAGAAAATCCTTTTTTAACGAAAGAGCACTGGGTTCAAATTTACCCCAGCCAAAAGGAGATTAACTACATCTCACCTTCCAGTATTAGAGCCAGTGTTGAAACCCGCCCTTTCAAGCTACACAATTTGCTCCAATTCTCTCCCCCTAACCACACCTGACATTTTATAGGCCTCCCCCCGAGCCTCGCGAGGTTCTGCGATACAGGCATCTCTAATTTATTGTATTTTGTCGATAAATTGGGAGCAGTCGTTACTTTTCACCAGATTTAACAAAATGATTTATTTTCGTTTGTATTAATTTTCTACTTGCATTATTGATCAACTTCCTATTTTCGCACATTTCTTGTCGTCATTACATTATCTAGTTAATCTTTTTTCATCAGTACTATTCCATCCAGTGAGAACATGAAATTGCAAACAGATCCATAAAATAAAAAGCGATACATCCGTAGTTTGGCTGATTTTATTATTATTATTATTATTATTATTATTATTATTTTTTTTTTTTTTTTATCTCAAAGTATTAGGACTATCCATACCGATTCTAAAGAGTCGTCTGTATCCAGAGCTGCTTGAACGGCTTTTTGCCATTCAAAGGTGGGATTCAATGTTTCCTTTAGTTCCTTCCAATCAAGCCCTATTGGTCCTAATAAGGATAAGACTATAATTGTAAGGTAATGCATAAAATATCTTTTTTCTTTTAAACTAGCTAGTAAGTAGCAGTAATCGAAGATTAGTAACTGCGTTCGAGTCTTTGCCATTAAAATTTAGCTGGCAGATAAATGTCAAAAAAGTGAAGCTGAATCGAAGTTTTTACGATTCAGTGATCTATGCAGACTAGTTGAATCGGGCTTCTGATCCACCGGGTTATATTTTATAGGACTGAAGTATCAGCAGTATCTTCAGTGCTTTTATATATTTTTAATAACTCGACTCGATTGTAATACAAACTTTGTGATAATATAAAACGATGAAGTGAATAGATCTCAAACAAATATAATTTCAAAAGCAAGTAATTCAAATGCCTTCAAATCTGTTTAGGTAAGAATTCCTGCCTTGGTAACTTGTAAATCCTGGCAAGTTCAAATTGCTCCTGGAACTCCAAGAATGGGGATCAGGTTTTAACGCCAGTGTTAGAATTTATTTTTTTTTTGTTTTGAATCGATCGCAACCGTTTAGTGTACCTACCACGCTGCTCTCCTCTCTTCTCTTCTTTCCCTGCAAAGAACAAAACCAAAATTAGTTGAAGAGTGTCTTTGCCTCAATGAGGTGATGGCTAATTTACGTATAACGGTTTAATTTTTAATTTGTTTTATTAGTTTCATTTCATTTCATTTCCTTACATTTTACTTACCTCACCAATAATAGAACCAAGTAGATCGAGTGTCAAATATAATCCAAGTGGCAATTAAACACTTTTGTCATGTAAACTGAACGTTTTTTTCCTGTTCGCAGAAATTTGCATGGCCACTGATCACGAAAGTGAATCGATCTACAGGTTGGCAGATTTTGTCCATCACTGACTGTAATTATAATTAAACAGGGACGATTCTCTTTGTCACTTTTTAAGGGAACTAGGTTAGAAGTTAGGTATCAGCAAAGTCACAACCTCACGATACTTTAAAATCATTTTCGGCTAATATGTGAAAAGTTTAGGTAGATTAGCAAAAAAGTAAACGGAGAGCCATCTTTTAGCGCAAACCTAGGGAAAAGAGATGCGTCTTCCGCGAGGGTTTACCTTTGCAATTCCCCATTTGCCTGTGTAGTTTTTTGTAGTTGAACACCACGGTCGAATGTGATCATCTTTAGTGCACTTCGTATATTTCCTTCCATAATAGGTAAATGGAAAATGGCACCATTCACCCTTTGTAGTCTTGACACTGCAGTCCTCGCCGGCTGAAAGCACGGGAAAAAGGCTTTCGCATAAGATAAATTATTTGTGCCTAGCTCCTTACTCGCTTGTTTTTATACCCTAAATTTCGGGGTCATCCGCTTGAGCTTTGTTTGCAAGAGCGCTTAAAGAAATGGGCAACAACGAAGTACTTGGGTAAAATTTTGGCCACGTAAGATGGCAAAGTTGAGGGCACGAGAAAAATGCACCCAAAGTAAGATGAAAGTACTATTAATAATTAAAGAGGCGGAGGAAGGGAGGAGGAGGGTCAAATTCGTAGAGCGTGTTAAGTCTGGAGACCAAGAGGACGACTTTGAGGAACACAGCTTGCCTCATATATATACCCTAACCTTAAATGAAGTCGCGGCTACAGGAAGGCAACGTGGCCGAGTGGTCAGCGCGTTGGACTCGTAATCCCTCGGTCCCAGGTTCGAGTCCACCTCTGGCCACTTGCTGGATTCGGTTCTTGGTCTTCCCGAGTTCAAATCCTCAGCCACGCTTGTAAATAGCCAACCGGTTGCCTCCCGCCAGTTAGGGTTTTTAATCCTGTTATGTTAAGTTTAAATTATTTGTTTCTAAGTATTTGAGTGGAGTGCCTGTAAACCAGCTGGATAGGCTAAGTGCACTTTCCATTATAAACAAGCCTTTGAACCTTTTTTCTTTTAAGTACTTTTCCAGACGAACTCGTGACAAGAGTGAGCGAGATAGCTCCTCTTTTGCTCGCGACTAGTAGTTTTACAGCTGTAGTAATATTCCGCAAGTAACTTCCCAGCTAGTGATTTTCCGACAAGTAATTGCCCGAGTTATCTCGTGATATTCTTTTGATCAATAATTTGGACCCTGCAAACAGCCCATCCCCGCTGAATAACATATGTTAAAGCTGAATTGGTGAAGAGGAGTCAGTCCCCTTGTTAGCAAACCAATGAAACTCATTCAGTGACTAAGAGACATTAAACATTTTTTTATTTGTAGGCAAACAAATTCCTGCCAAACATAGCTTTCGAATAAAATAGAAACATTTAGAGTACTACATTTTTTGAGCCAATAATATACTAGGTAGCATCAACAAATACTTGATGAAAAGAAGCACAAAACGGCAGTTTCCTCCTAAATGCATTGAAAACACTTTTTACGCTATCCAGAGTACTTCAGTTTAGATCTCTAGAAATGCATTCTAAGCAGCGCTATAAAATTTGTATCTGTTTTGTCATCCTAGGGCAACTTGAGTCTTTTCGAAATTACAAGCGCTTGAGTACTATTTTCCCGAAAATTTTCGATGCAGTTTGACGTATTACGAAATTGATAAATTTTCTGATTCCTCTCTCCATCACATTTTTTAATCCGAAAATTTTTGGTTTCCCTTTTTCTACGAAAAACTTGAAAAGTGAAATGCGAAAATTAAACTTCAGAAAATTGTGGGGAATTTATTAATTAGATAAGCTTCGAAAATTGTACTTGAATGGAAGCAGAGTCATTTAGAACTTTTAGCCAGTCTTTAGCCCTCCTCAGGTAATAGAAAATTCTAGGCAATATTTGTTTCTCCGAACAGTTATTTTACAGAAAACAGTCGTTGGGTGTCCCTAACAGTATGGCTCAGTAGAATGAGGCACTCAGCTCTCACACGATTATTTTGGGACACCTGCTTGGTTTGTAATTCTTTTTATTGGCACTTACCACTAACCAATAAAATAAACAAATTGAACTTACCCATTCCCTGTTCTTCATTACCTAAGAGGAGGGAGACGTAATACAAATTAAATATTATGATTATAAAGTAAGTAGTAACCAAAAAAAAAAAAAATAGAGTAACAATTAACAACGTTTCTTTTGTTACCTTGACAGTTTCCCCATCTTCCAAAATTATTTTTGAAGATATATTTCTGACTCGTTGAACACCAACGTCTGTGATGGTCTTTAGTTGTACACTTGTGATAGACTTTACCACGATAAGTAAACGGGAAATGGCACCATCTTCCGTCAGTCGTTTTTACTGTGCATCGTCTCTTTTCTACACGAAACAAATAAATTAAGGTAGCATTATAATATATGTGTTATTGTACAAGCGAATAAGGTTTAATTACGATGACCTAGATATTGGTCAAGCTCGGTTTTTTTGCGTTCCCAAAGGACCGATTCAGTTGTGGTCATTAAGAAATTTGCAACAAAAAAGAACGAGGCCAATATCTTGCCATTTTGACCTGTCAAGCTTGATTAATGAAGGGTTTATGATGGTAAACAGAACTAAACAGGTCTTTTTTTCTCCAGTTGTGGGACAAAAGCGGGAGATCTCCAGCGGATGAGATGGATCTATCTTGTCTGCTTGGAGAAACGATCAAACATGACCTGATTTTACAGACGACGGATAAATTTTGAATTCCTTCTTTGTTTCAACAACCGAGTCAGATCGATTGAGCGAGTTTAAAGAAATAGAACCCGATCATTCCATTTACAGTGAAACCTGTATTAAGCGGACACCCACTATTAAGCGGACAGTAGCCGAAGTCCCCAAATTTATTTCTGTTATTTACTTTAAATGAAACCTTTATCAAGCGGACACTTCTATCAAGCGGACGCGGACACCTAAAAAGTACCTGAAATGATCATTTCTATTGTTTCCGACCTGTATTAAACGGACACGTGTAATTAAATTCCACCACCTAACATGCCAGACGCCGGAAATGCGAAAGATTGACGCCCACAAATTTTCATTTTTTACCTTAAAAAATGTGACTTGACGAACTTATTTGATCAGTTTCACAGTACAGTTATGTTTTCTATTTCTGTTTGTATAGAGCTTGTTTCACTCATCTGATTTCTTCAAATTTGAGTTGCAGTCTATGTTAATGGTACTTTGATCAACTGGTCCACTTAAATAAAGAAATTAATGCAGACGTATGTCGTCACAGTCTCTGGGAGTATTCTTAACGTTTCCACTGTTCATTTAAATGGCATTTGACACCTGATATGACGTTATCTATTGAAACCTGTATTAGGCGGACACCCTGTATTAAGCAGACACTACAGCATTCTCCGAGGGTGTCCGCTTAATACAGGTTTCACTGTATAACAATACCTAACTGAAAGTACCTTATACCTAATAGGATGTTCTATAATACGTTCCTTATAAAGTTTAAGTGTGTTTGAAGCAAGTCTCCGAGTACCATTTATTTTGCTAACTTCATTGGCACTGAGTTCTGACGATTAAATCTTTCCGTCTCTATACCTCTACTGAAAGGTACTTTTAGAGTACCCACATCGTTTGAACGTCCTGTACACTTTGTTTAAGTTACAATTGGTCGCTTAGGCAGACACGTACCTTGTCCGTGAACTGTCACCCGCTGTAGCGACATGGGATTGGGACCTGCCAGGCGTTGCTGAGTAAAGTGCTTGTCGTTTATCCACTCGGGCTTATTGTCGACGAAGGCTTCATATCGTGATGGCAGCCGAGCATACTCCTAATGGTAAAAAATTTCAAAGTCTATTTGCTGTCTGATTATTGGGCCGCCGGCACAGCCCAATTAAAAATTAGTTTTCGTCGTGTCCTTCAAAGAGGCAAAGGGGACCTTACGAAACTAACGACGGCGACGGCAACGGCAGCTTCAAAGAGCAATAGGTTTAGTAAGCAAAAAAACAACTTTGCTCGTGCATCACGCTTTTTTGTACATTTCCTGGCCGTCCCTGCACGACTACAACGTGAAATTACCAAGTTTTAAGTTTCTTTTTTTGAGGACGGGAACTGCAAGGCGATAAATTCTACCATCTCTGATGTGTCTGAACTCGGGCGTCATCCCTTCTCTTCAGCTCCAACATAACTTCAATTCCCTTCCTTTAAGTGACTGGGTGACTTGGGATAATCGCAAAATGGTTTAAAATTAAAGAATGCGGAGTCTATTTTTCAGCGACGTTTTCATGGACGTCGCTGTTGTCGGATCGTAAGGTCCCTAAAATATCGGACGGATGATCAGGAAGGAGGGATAGGAGTAGTTACACACTCAGCATGCAAAAGGTGAGATAAGCATAATACCTTCCAAAATATATTAGACGACTACAAAGTATAGCCCAATGTACGCCTACTGTAGACGTCTATTTTAAATCTTTTGAATTATCCGACACGTTATCTTGCCGTGAAAGTTTCATTGGGATTTAAGTACACCAGTGTAGAGACTGAGATAAACAAAAAAAATGTCACGCATGAAGAAGAGACAAAATTTCCACCCGGTACTTGTACGCGAAAAAATAGCACCAGGAAAACAGCCGACATTTCGCGACGCCACCAGACGTATGTTATAATACCACGTTTTCGAAAATAGATCGACGTTCACTTTATAATAAAAAGAAAAAAAAAACAAAAGAAAACAAAACAATACAAAAAACAAAACAAGCCTTTCTTATTTCTCATCCTTAAATAGACGGGGTCATCATATAGTAAACCGCTCTAATTTTGTAATTTAAGGCTAAGAAAGAAAGTCAGGAAACTAATTTAAAAGTGGATTTCAGTTTTCAGATTTCAACGGTGTGTGGTAGTGATGGTGTCATATTGAAGGCTTTTTGGAGAGATACACTGTCGAAGGACTTGAGTTTGATGCTGGGCTAAGAATTTTTCTTCTGTTTTAATACTGACTTAACTGTCATTAATTTTCATTGCGTCAAAAGAAAAAGAAAATCACGTGTCTTAATGATGGCCCGACCGTTACAATTAACGACAGGAAATTTAACATATACAGTCAGGGAACACAGACAACATGGTGGGCTAGTTATGCGCAATTGACAAAACAATACATTAATTTCTTTGCATAGGATTTGCATGGACAAACAGTGTTTTAAATTCGAAAATTGTCACCTAGCAAAGGAACACGATACTGTTTGCGTCAACTAAGTTGGCCGCTGTACTATCAGTTTACTCTAGCAATACACTGACGTCACGGAGGCGATTTTAAAATTCAAATATCAGATTTATTACATCACCTGCGCATATAACCTGACATTAAGCCCCGTTCACTCGTGCCTGAATGTCAGGCGTTGGCAGTTACATCTGACTTAAGGTTTTATGCAGTTGAACTCGGTCTTTGAATAACAAAACAACATACTTACGCCAATTGCAGGTTCTAGAGCCGACTGAAAAAACGTTGACAACTTCAGATACTCTGATAGTTCCGTGATTTCCTGACCAGCGGTTATATTGTTGTACAAGTCAAAGGATTTACTGCTTGCTTGCGTGATTTGAACATATGCCGAAGCGTAGTATCTTATAAAGGGATCTTGCACAGCAATAGCTCCCAGCTGCTCAGAGGTCATGTTCAGTAAGGCAAAGCCATGTAAATCTGGATCATGTTTCAAGGTCCAGATCTTCTTGTTCTCATTTAAGGCAGCATTTCTCGACACTTTACAGGCAGGACTGGCGTGCTGGAGAAGGGATACTTCACATGGCGTACCTGATACATACCTTGGTGAAAATAAGAAGTTGTTTGTCAGGTT